TATACTCATACAAAGACATTTAAGAAATATATAGACCCGACATAGTGAATAACGTTTTTGTACCGGTAACTTTTATAAAAGGTACTATGTATGTTGTCAAGTTTAATACGCCACCTCATATCCTTTTATAGACATGTTATAATTTTCTTTACAAAATTGTAATAAAAAAATTATAATAAAGCTCTTCTATCTTTTGTCATAAAAAAACTTAAAAGTGTCGCAAAATGAAGTAACATTTAAGACTTAGTGACGTCTATTGGCAATTCATTTAAATACAATTAATTAAATTGAATTATGGTTTTTAGTGAGAATCGTGGGAAAAATGTCTCAAGTGAAGTGTCAGCAATGCTTCCTCTATGTATCTTTTGAATATCTTTGATATAAATATTTGTTTGTATTATATTATATGACTTATAAATGTGTGTCGCATAATTAGAAGGCGTAGCTATACATCAAGTCAGGTAGTATGTGGCCGTTTGCGATGTGAGACGTAGTAAGGAGAGGGCTAGATAGATGGGCGACGGCTGGTTCTTGCTCAACGAATATTTTTCGATATAAAAATCTTTGCCTTGTTCTATCCCTTTCACCATCTAACACATTTCCAAAGTGCGCACAATACATGCTCTAATTTTCTGGTTTTAAATTAACTATACATATGAAATTCAAGAAGAAACCTGTATCTGCTAAATTAAGTTTATTATATTTTTGTTTGTATATTTAACTTGTAGGGAAAGTATATAAAGATAATATTGGTTCTAATTTAACGGTTAATATATTAAATTATTATAATTTATTATATAATCAGTTGATACTTCCTCGTGCTTTAAAATGGCAGCAGATGCAAGTGTTTGTGAATAATTTCCAATACCTACTTTCTTTGTCTTCTAATGTAACATCACCTACTAACACTAAATCTAAATTTGTCTTACAAGTTTGTGGAATGTATTATTTATATATAACTGCACGATGGTTTTTGTTGCATTTTGTTGCTTTGTTTTGTAATGTTGTTTGTCTTTTATATTATGAAGTTTTAAGCAGCAAATAATTAATAAAATATCTTTCTATTTAAAAAATTAAATTGAATTTAATGTATTTTGCTGTAGAAAACTTCTTATAGTTATGCTTTGTTCAAACTTGCTTAGCTTTTATGTAAATTTAGTGCTTTGATTGTTGAATAGTTTTTTATCGTCTGTGCCTAATTCTTACACGTGGTGTATGACACGTCCATACAAATGTATGAAAGCATGTCATATATTTGTACTATCATAAACAACATACCCTCTATAGTATCGATGTCAATGATTCACATACTTAGGGCTTGTCCCACCAAATTGTAAATTGTCTGATAACAAAGATGTGTAAAATATATGATTAAAATATCGGATTTTGTTCTCTCGCTATGACGTCATTTTCAAGCTATCTAAGACTATAGGTCAGTGGTGGGACAGGCCCTAAGTTACCATATATATCAATTTTGGTTTTTGAGATAATTGAATAGAGAATCGAAAGCTGACCTAAAATTATTATAAATAACAGTATAGATAATGAAACGCGGAATTGATATACATGGTGTTTGAATTTTCATTACATATTGATGTTTTAAAATAATGTGTTTGTATTTGTGTATGTAGAATACGGAGCCGTTGGACTTCTCGTTCAACCCGGAGTACGAGCCGGAGTTCAAGTTCTTCGACTGCACGCTGCTGGAGGCGGTGCGGCGCGGCGACCGCCACGTGCACGACTTCTTCCGTCTGCTGGCGCTCTGCCACACCGTCATGCCGGACCAGAAGAACGGCCGCCTCGAGTACCAGGTCAGCTGGATACACCTCTTACAATGTTACACCAAGTGCCAGGCCAAATTTATAAATTATAAGCTTCCCGTGCGACTTCATCCGCGTGAAATTAATAAAACTTTATTTTATTATTTAAATTCGTCAAATTTACAATTGCTAATGTTAAAATTCAAAAGCACAAATGACAGAAAGCTTTTGATATTGGATGACAATTGCCGTTATCATGCCAAATAATCTTCCTTAATGTTGTCAGCTTGTGTAGTTTATGGTCTCTTTCCCGCATGACAGTTTTTTCCAGTTTATCAACCCCCTAAGTTTAATAACGTGAAAATATAAGCGTGTTATATATATAAGTAGAAAGAAGAAAATATAAGTTGTAGGGCTTGTTAGTAAAAAAAAATATTATTCATATAAAAGAGTGTGTGTTTTTGCTATTTTTATTAATATCGTCTATGAATTAGGTACTTTTCTTCATTTGTGTTAATTAGTTTGTTATGCGCAGGCGCAGTCCCCGGACGAGGCGGCGCTGGTGTCGGCGGCGCGCAACTTCGGCTTCGTGTTCAGAGAGCGCTCGCCTAATAGTATTACTATAGAAGTTATGGGTAAAACAGAGGTATGTACCTTCCTATAATGCAATAACACAACGCTTTGACTAAACTATCGCACAACTGTTTAGTCGCTTTGATTCCTATGAGTTTATATGGAGCGTACAATACTCGATTTTAGTTGTGTTTAATTTTAGTTGTTGAGCTGCGAAACATCGACAATCGCACAGTTGTGCGATAGTTCAGTCGTATGTGTGTACCCGCTCTTATACTTTGTAAACGCCACACATCACTATTATACTCATCTATATTTTATACTAATGTCATAAAGAGGAAAGATCTGTATTTTTGTATGTATTGAATTGACACAAAAACTACAGGGCCGACTTCAAAAATTCTTTCACCAATAAAAAAATACGTTTTCATTGTGTACCATAGGCTATATTTTTTATTATTTTTCAATAATACACAGACGAAGACGCAAACAACAGTTAGTTATTGATAATTAAAAAAATTATAAACTATTTCACACATTACCTTATATTCATAGTAGAACAATCATATTGAAAGTAATCTACATGAAATTACATTATTTTTTGTGTAACAGAAATTTCCTAATTTGTTGGAATACTATAAATAATTATCAGTTGTTAATATGTTTTTTTCTTTATTTTCAGGTGTATGAGTTGTTGTGTATATTAGATTTTAATAATGTAAGGAAAAGAATGTCGGTGATATTGCGCAAGGACGGCGAGATTAGATTGTACACGAAGGGTGCTGACAATGTTATATACGACAGATTAAAAGGTGGCTGTCAGCAAGAAGTGAGGGCCAAGACACAGGAGCATTTAAACGTGAGTTTCATACCATGTCACTGATAACGTAATTATTTATATTATCTCTCATATCTTTATTTTCTTATTTTTATATATAATATATTTCACATGATTTTCTTAAAAAAATAACAAAACAAAACATATTATATAAAAAAATAGAGCACCACCGGCTGCGGAATCCGATGACTCAAGCAACCAGTGGTCAGGGCTGCAGAGACAGGAACCTTATATTAATTATTAACAATTTTATTTTTTTATGCGGACATATAATAAAATTGTAAATTGGATAACGAAAATCGGATTTTAATTTTTTTATGTCTGTATGTTTGTCTGTCCGCAAGCCGCGTTTGTTTCGGGTAATCTCCAAAACGACTGGGCCGATTTCGATCGGATTTTCACTGAAGGATAGCTGACATAGACGGGCGTATAGGCTACATTTTATTAATGACAAAGTCGCGGGCAAAAGCTAGTATAACATAAAATCAATATAGTTAAGATTTAAGACAGCAATTTTGTGAATTAACAATGCCATCTGGAAAGCGTCATATTCTGACCAATGAGGGAACAGCAACAGCACAAGTGTATCCGCCATCTTTATTATTTCGAAAAATTAACATATAGTTTGGTTTTATTTTAGAAAATACAAAAGAAGATGGGAATTTTTTGTTTGTTATTATAACTCTAAAATTAGAAAGAGATTTCTTGTTGTAATCAATAACACTTCCATAAGATATTATCATAGTTTTGTCTATCAGAAATTCGCTGGCGAGGGTCTGCGCACGCTGGCGCTGGCGTGGCGGCCGCTGGAGGAGCGCGGCTTCGCGGAGTGGAAGCGGCGCCACCAGGCCGCCGCGCTCGCGCTGCGCGACCGCGACGAGCGCCTCGACGCCATCTACGAGGAGATCGAGACTGACCTCCTGCTCATGGGTACCTAGCGCCATCCCACTCCTTCTCACTGCATATCACTACATCTCACTACATCTCACTGTATCTCACCACATCTCACTGCATCTCACCACATCTCACTCCATCTCACTACATACGCCGTTTCACGAAAGAGATGGATATATGATTCACATGCATGATTCAACAGTCGATAGCAATAATAGAAATGAATAATTGTAACAGACCTATTTTTTTTTTCACAAAACTGTTATTACATATTTATTAAAATCAGGCATATTTGTATAATAAATACTACATTCCAATAATAAATCTATAGTTATTTTCTTGGTTCTATTAAATCCGTTTTGTATTCATTTTTTTAAATAAGTATTTAATTTGTTATATAACAATTTTAAGCCATGTCTAATGTATGACAGGTGTGACTGCCATAGAGGATAAACTACAAGACGGTGTTCCGGAGACCATAGCGAATCTCAGCATGGCCGGCATGAAGATATGGGTTCTCACTGGAGACAAACAAGGTAATTGTTTATGAGTATTGAATATAAATAGTCATTAAAACACTTTACAACTCTTTAATGCTTAAAGTGCGTTGTTATAAAAACGCTGAAGTAAATTATGGCTCTATATCGTTTTTATAAGCTTTGGGAGTCTTTTGTTAAGAAAGATTTGTATTTTTGTTTGTAATGGAAGAACTCGAAAATAACACAGATTGTATAAATTCTTTAACCATTAGATAGCTAAGATTTTAATAAAACATAGGCTTAATTGAATTCCGTACTAAGTCGTATCATCCACTAGGCATATTAAGGGCCTGTCCCACCATTAGCTGATAGAGGTTGAGATAGTTTGAAAATGACGTCACTGTCAGATAAGGGAACAAAATCCGATATTTCCATCACATATTTTGCACGTTCGATTGTTATCAGACTATTTACAATTTGGTGGGATAGGCCCTTATTATTTTAAAATTGTTGACATATTTTCCGTTATGTTGTCAGAGACGGCGATCAACATCGGCTACTCGTGTCAGCTGCTGACGGACGACATGGCGGAGGTGTTCATAATTGACGGCGTGACGCACGACGACGTGGACCGCCAGCTCGCCAAGAGCAGGGACTCCATACGCGTCGTCAACACATTCCTGCCATACGGTCAATATCTATTGCTAATTAGTTTTACTAAGAAAGTCATTGGACTGTATTAATACTAGCTTTCGGCGGCAACTCCGTCCGGAATTAAAGAAACCAATTTCATCGAAATCCGTTCAGCCATTTAGGCTATAAACTCGTAACAAACATCCATCTATACTTACTTTCACATTTATAATATTAGTATGATGTACAAACTACCAATGTCCTTTTCTTTCGTTTCGTCTTTTTTTTTTAATTTGCAATAGTTATAGTTCAGAGTTTGTAATAATTCTGAAATGACCTAGAAAGTTAGGTAGGTAGACCTAGTAAGTCATGTTAGCTTTGTAATTTTTCTAATTTTTTTTTGTCAAATATCCCCATTTTCTCTAAAAGTTCGATGTAGATACAGAATCTCTCTCTCTCTCATTCTTCGATGTAGATACAGAATGAAATAATTTCTTACAGTAATAAACATATTTCAGGTTCATCAGAGGCTAAGAACTCTACGGCGAATGGCGGCGCGGGCGCGGGCGCGGGGCGGCCGTCCCCCGGGCGCGCCGCCAACGTGAAGCTGAACGCGCCCGCCGTCTCCGTCGTCACATTTAGGTGGGAACATAACTCACTACCCCGCAGGTAGACACCACGGCTACGCTCTAACTATCGCTCGCCTACCGCCTCCACACTGCCCCGCTGCCTCGCTGCCCCACTGCCCCACTGCCCCACCTCCCCACTGCCCCACCTCCCCACTGCCCCACTTCCCGCCGCGTGGACAACTACACTCTAACTGTGCATATCGCAGACAATATTGATTATTTGTCTATACTATTATAAAGAGAAAAGATTTGTATTTTTGCATATATTGAAATAACTCAACTGGACAAAAATTCTTTCACCATTAAGAAGCTACGTTATCGCCTAGTAATAAGGCTATATCCTTATTATATTTTAATTTCACGCAGACGAAGTCGCTAGCTACTGCTAGTATATTTTATACTAAAACATTTAAAATCAAACGAATTACGAGAATAGACAGATTATTACGGTATTTTTAATTGATGTACCAACAGAAAGAGGTTATCAAATCGTTTTTTTTTTGTATTAAGAGTTTTGAAATCATAAAAAAAGGAAAACGAAATCTAGTTGTTGATTAAAGGATAAATGTGTGTTGATTGTCGATTTATTTGGCTAGTTCACTTTCATATGACAAACGTGGCAAAGAACATGTTAATTGTAGTTGTTCACTGTGTGCTGACCTTTACTTTCCTGAGTGTCTTCCTTCAAGTGTGGGCTTGCACAAACTGTCTATCTTGTGTTGTACTGTACTGTGATGCTTCTATGTATTGTGTGTTTCTTTACTTGTGACTAATATAGTATATTTATACTAAAAAAAATCTTCTAATACTAGATATTTTCACAAAATTGTAACCATACAAGCAATTATAAATATTAAATGTCTCAGAGGCATTTATGTGACTTTTACATGGTTAAAATTTTAATATTAATAGGAACAAAATAATGCATATGTTTCTAAAATGTCTTATAACACGTCCTTCAACCACCCTTTATCTTTTCAAGTGTGTATTATTTTTTTATTTAATTACTCTTGTGTGATTTTTGTGTAAAAAGTTTACTTTTTTATTCTGATCGTATTTGTCCTTATCTAAATATATTTATAGAATTGTATAGAATATATGACGGATTAGAATGTCCAGGTTTTTAACAACATACTTACATCTAAAAGTTTACTTAAATAAAATTAAATACAGTTTGAAGCGATATATGTGTAACGAACACACGTACGTACGTACGTTTTATGCGTACACGTACGCAGTTTTTAACCTAATGATTTTTATGTTCATAATTTCATGATGGTAAATACAATATTTTCAAAGGAAATGTGTATATTATTCCAGTAACGAGTACAGCGCGGGCGGGGCGGAGGGCGGCAGGTCGGACGCACACGAGCATGCCAATGACGACACCAACGGCTTCGCCATCGTTGTCAATGGACACTCCCTAGTGCACTGCCTGCATCCCAAGCTGGAGGAGAAGTTAGTTATTATCTATACTTCTATGCTAATTAACTTATTTAAATTTTCGTGACATTATATAAATATATATATAAATAGTAAATATATAAATAGTAAATTTAAAACGTGGCTTAACTCACTAAAAAAATCGGTAAAGGCATCGACCAGTTTCGAATTAGTAGGGGGTCCTTTATCAGGGTGAGTGATTAACGGAGTCACTGAGTTTCACGGAGTTTAGCCGGAGTTTTATATTTAATATTTCATGCTAATAATAGCATAAACACTACTTAGTTTCGTAGGATTTTAGCAATTACAGTATATTTTTGAATTATTCTTTAATTAATGAAAAAAACCTACACTATGACACGCTTTAGGCTATATAATTTACGCTACTAAACTTAGGGAGAATAAAATTTGGTAAAAACCGTCATTCCTCTAGTTGAATGTTTATTATTTCGTATTTCAGATTCCTGGAGGTGGTGCTGCAGTGCCGGTCGGTGATCTGCTGCCGCGTGACGCCGCTGCAGAAGGCGATGGTGGTGGAGCTCATCAAGAAGAGCCGCAAGGCAGTCACGCTCGCCATCGGCGACGGCGCCAACGACGTCTCCATGATTAAAGGTTACCGGATATACATTAAATAATCCTTCCGAGCCTCAGTGTTAGACGATGTACAATGACTCCCCCCCCCTCACCCCTGTAAGCTTATAATAGTAAGTAATAATATTAGTAATAATAAGTGGTTTCGCAATATAACAACTTCTCTTAGCCGGTTTACTCTACCCGTAAATATTTTCAAGAGCCATCAGCCCGGGGATTAAGTGTAGGACTAAGGGGTTGTGTAAGGGTGGTAACATGTTCTAATTTGAAATAGTCTTGCCTTGAAAATATGCCTATTTTACAATAATCGATTTTTGTTAGGCGACATCTATCGAAATTTTTTTTTAAAATAAAAACACTGTTAATCAACTCTCACAAACATTCATTTATTTAAAAATAACTGTAAATATGTGCAGCGGCGCACATCGGCGTGGGCATATCGGGGCAGGAGGGCATGCAGGCCGTGCTCGCCTCCGACTATTCCATCGCGCAGTTCCGCTTCCTGCAGCGCCTGCTGCTGGTGCACGGCCGCTGGTCCTACTACCGCATGTGCAAGTTCCTGCGCTACTTCTTCTACAAGAACTTCGCCTTCACCGTCTGCCACTTCTGGTTCGCCTTCTTCTGCGGCTTCAGTGCGCAGGTAACTGCGGCTCACTTCTACAGTACACTACAGCCTACGGCAATCTGCATCTGGTTTCACTTATACATCATAATATATTCATGGTCGAAAGCATACGGGCAGATATGGCGCGCACACATGTCCTTGAAACCGAAAAAAACCTTGAACAAACATCCATTCATCCATCTAAACTTTCACATTTATAATATTAGTATGATGTTATATTTTGCATGTAATTATCCTGATGTGACGAAATGAAATAGCATTTTTTGGCGATTATACATAGATAATCACCAAAAAATGATTTCTAAATTAAATTACTCAATAATTAATGATTACTATAGAGTAATAAGTAAAATTGATCAAAAACATCTAATCTTTGACTTATGATTGTCTGATCTATGACCACAGATATATTTATGTAGCTGATTGATTAAAAAAAAATAAAATAAAATAAAATAATGTTTAATCCTTTGTCAACACTACAATTATGAACAAACACACACACATTACACATTGGATAGCCAACTTAGCCCATAATCGACAATTTGGAAGCGATTTTGATTGCGCCAATGAGATGTTTGTCTATTTGTTTACCAGACGGTGTTCGACGAGATGTTCATCTCTGTGTACAACCTGTTCTACACGTCGCTGCCCGTGCTGGCGCTGGGCGTGTTCGAGCAGGACGTGTCCGACAGCACCGCGCTGCAGTTCCCCAAGCTGTACGCGCCCGGACACACCAGCCGCCTCTTCAACAAGACGGAGTTCATCAAGTCCACGCTGCACGGCTGCTTCACCTCGCTGGTGCTATTCCTC